ATGTGAGGCCGACTCTGCACAATGGAATCTAGTTTGTGTTTGATTTTGAAACAACCATTTAAGTACCACCATAGGGTCCTGGTGTGGTACTTGCAAGTGGTATTAAAATAATATAAAATAAAAACAAAATTATTTGACTATAAACAATTAATTCTCAAGATCTAGTAGTTAGCTAGCAATCATGTAATAATGTTAAAATTCACAACATTAAAGGTAGTTCAACTAATAATAAAAATAAATTATAAATTCAGATATTTTAAATTCGTATTTTAGTAATCTCTTAAAGTCAGGGTATGAAAGATTTATCCCTTACGAATAGTTTAGTTCCGACGTGAATGACATATTTTTTGATCAAATCAAAGAGGAGATTAGTCGAGATGCACGTAAATTAATTTAAACACTTCTAATGAGCTCAAATCTAACTGGGTCAGATCCAATAGATCAAGTAAATTCAAATCAACTAAAAGGCATGTCAAACCCAGTTTGTGAAGTCGACTTAGTCCAAGCTCCAAGGAGTCCAAGAATATTAGAGCACGTGGGGAATTATCATCGAGATATCCACTCTCGAAAATTAAGACAATCTTTAATTATATTTATATTTGGTAACTATCCTCTCCGAAGAACTAGTGTTCTTTTTACATGAGAGGGGCACCTCTCTATATCTCTCACATAACTTTTTTCTCTCTCCTAGCTACCACATCTCTTCCGAAGCTAACATTTGCTCTCTCTCTTTCTTACCAAACTTTATTAATAAAGTTTTTTTGGCCACCGTTGCCGTTTTTCGGAGTGGATTAAGTCACCCTAATTGAATAATTAAATATTTACTTTTTTGTCATTGATTACTTTATTATTTGTGTTCATTAATTCCATTATATCATTCACTTAACTGTTGATCTTGCATAAGTCTATTTTATGCATCATCAACTTCTGATCATTAAACTAAAAAAAATTCACTATTTTAATAGGGGAAGCAATTGAGTAAAAAATGAAGCATATGAGTTGGACAATGTTTGGACTATTTGGTGCAATAACAATTCCATTAAGACTAAATATTGTCAATGAAATGTATCAAACAACCGACAATGAAAGTGATTTTTGTAATATCTTTTCTAGGCAAATGTGTATTTGCTTAACACGTTAAGTTTGATCGAGTGAAAGTATCTCATTAACTGGTATCTTAGAATTTTAAGTTCACATCTTGCAAGAAAACGTTTTTACTTGACTCTACATTTTATAAGTTTTGGCTGATTTACTTGTATATATATCTTAATTTTGTATGTCAATCACGAATTTAAAAGACACGTAATTAGAATAATTTTCAATTAATATAGAAGTTTTGTGCATTTGGTTCAATGCTTTATAAAAAGATATAGAGTGATTACTTGCACCCCCTTGTGATGTACACAACCAATAAGGAGTTCTAAGAAAAGTTGTCATTCATTATTTTGTTAAAGCTTGTGTGTGTAATTTTAAGGGATAATTCATGCGGTAACACAGACGAATTGTAAATTCAGATATTTCGAGTTTAAACACTGTGATGAATTGTATTCCTCATGAATACCTTAGTCTTAGAGTAAATGGTCTGCCTTTTACTGAATTGGAGAGAAGACTAGTGTTATGTATGTAAATTGGTCTAAACATTCTTGACAAGAAAAAAAAAAAATTTGTGTGTTTAACATGATAATTTTTTAGTGACCATGTACATAGGACTGGTACACGAGCCAAACTTGAACATTTTTTTAATTCGTTTTTGTGTAAATAGTTCAACAACTCAGTTCATTTAAGCTTGAATTAAGTTCGACTACCACCCCTACATGTATACTACCTGACACTCTCAATGACAGTGTTAAACTTATACAAAATTTTCTTATGTATTTCTGTTGTCTTCTTCAATGGGATAATTAGAGCTCTTAAAATGTAATTAGACAACCTCACTCGGAAGGGGAAAATATAATAATATTGGAAAAATTAGTGGCACCTTTTAAAAAAGAACAATGATATTGAATCTAATTTATTGACTAATTTATCAACTTAATTCATTGTAATCATTAAATTGCTTTCAGTACAATCATCTTGTTACGACTTCACTTGTACCCGGGAGTCCTATTTTCAACATCCCCTTGTAGTTTTATTAAGTCAAAATTTTAAATCTTAATAGTTTTACTATTTAAGAAACGGTTTTGTCTCTGTCTGTACTGGATAAAGATGATGAATCCGAGTCATTGCCATCCATCACTGCATTACAATTGAAATTGAAGTCCTTATATGATAATATGTAAAACTTTTGGCCTTATCATACTAAAATCAAAGAATATACATTTGGCACTTAACGTACGTCCATTAGCAAAAAGCAGAGCTCATATCACTTATCTAATTGGTCCATCCGATAAGCCCTCCTCACTTTATAATCCCATCGCCATATATATATATATATATATATATAACTCCATAATTTCATAAAATATTGACTTTAACGATAATATCACGTTAAGTTATTTCGATTAAATTACAATTACCTTTATTATATAAGATATTCACTTCATTCTCTCGATATATTGTTTACAGAAGCTTATTTCATTGCTTTGAATTAACGAAACGATTAACAGCGAGGGATTATTATCATCAGGACTCAAATAAAGTAAAAAAAATAATGGAAAATCCTTTAATTATGGTTTTGTCACGCGTAACCCTCCTTTGTAAAAAGCCCCCCCCCCCCCCCCCCCCCTCTCTATCTAATTTCTCCACAAATTTCCCTCTATCCGTTTGTATCTATAAATATATGCACAAATACTCAATACATATATTGAGAGAGACAGAGAGGCGGAGGTGAGGTGTGGAGGAGAGAGAGAGGTGGTGGTGTAAAGAGGATTGCTGTATGTCAGCAGATTGTACACACTACTGCTACGGTGGAATTGGTGAGATTGTTAACCCGTTGCAATGGCCACAACTGAGGAAAAAACGACGTCTTCGTGTTGCATTTCAGGCGATTCTGTTCCGGTTCGCCGTCAGGCCTCTCCCGCCGTGTCGGCGGCGGAGGTGGTGCAGGATTGGACCGGTTCAGCCATTGATCGTCGCGAGGATCAGCAAAACAAGAAAGCTGCCATGGCGTCCTTGATTCGCCCTGAGCCTTCAACCAATTCTACCCCCAAAGGTACTCTTTGTCTCTCGATATATTAGACTATGATGTGTATACAGATGTATTCAAGATTTGTTCTTGTTTTTTTGGATGATCCGAATGTTAGATCTAGAATCTTTGTAGCTGTTTGCTTGAAATGCTTTTAGCTCATTTTATTTTTATTATTTCCGTAATGTATGATCCGTATTCACGCATTTCTTTATAAGTTTTGTTGGTGATACATGAATGATATATGTATATGCAATTCAAGAAAACATGTGGACTATTAAAAGAGTGAAAATTACAAATAGTCAAAGTTTAGTTGGAGCCTTATATGGCTAGTTTCTATAATCTAATTATAATGTACAAGTTGGGGTTTTTGCATGAATTTTTACTGCAGGAATTCACTAGAAATTAGGTGTATAAGTCTCTTAGGAGTTAAAATTGTAGAAGTGGTTAATAGAAATGTGAGTCTGGAGCGGCATAAGCATCAGCATATTACCTTTCAATTCCCATAAAAATAGGTTTTGCTACTGGTAATCCAATAATTTTAATAAGAGTTGATCCTTTAATATTTCATATGCTATAAATTTAAAACCTCTAGTGGTTAATGATTTTCTGAGGGTCCAATTTGTTGGAACCACATGCGAGAATGTGAATAAGCCATCTCACATTGACTATGCAAAGAAACATAACAGGCTTAAGATATATAAGATAGGAACAATCTAATCTGAGCTTGAGTTTAAGCTTTTGTGTTTGGTTTGTGTCCGAGTTAAGATTCTAACAATGGTATCAGAGCATGAAAAGATCTTAAGGACCTGTTTGTCCAACAAAAAAATAGCTTAACAAGTTCTATACCAAAGAAAGAAAAAAGAGTGAATAAAAGGGGTAGGAGCAAGTGCTACTACAAAATATATAAACACAACAGGCTTAATACAAAAATATAGGAACAAAACTACTCTAAATTTTGAGCTTAAACTTTTGAATTTTGTTTGTATCCAATTTTACATGAGTGAAGATTCTAAAACAATTTGTTTCATTGTAGGTGATTATTTGTGCTATCACAAATTTTAGAGTGTAATTTTTTTTTTTTCATATATTGCATTCACATTAGCATTAAGTAATTAATTATAAAGGAGGTATAATGGATTAATGTGATGCTTGTGCAGGGATCCCTATCATGTTGCGGGCTCAAACCAGTCATCCTTTGGATCCTTTATCTGCTGCTGAAATCTCAGTGGCTGTGGCAACAGTCCGAGCCGCTGGTGCCACCCCTGAGGTTGTTAACTATGCTCTAGTTTCCCTTGTACAATTATGATTGTGTAATAATTCTTGGTGGATAAAAAGTAGTTATTGCTTTTGCAATAGTAACTTATACTTTTCTACATTTCAGGTCAGAGATAGCATGCGATTCATCGAGGTGGTTCTGTTAGAACCAGATAAACATGTAGTTGCTTTAGCAGATGCTTATTTCTTCCCCCCTTTCCAACCATCATTGTTGCCAAGAACCAAAGGGGGGCCAGTAATTCCAAGTAAGCTCCCTCCCAGGCGAGCTAGACTTGTTGTTTACAATAAAAGATCAAATGAGACAAGTGTATGGATTGTTGAGCTAACTGAAGTACATGCGGCAACTCGAGGAGGTCATCACAGAGGAAAAGTTATTTCATCACAAGTTGTTCCTGATGTTCAGCCTCCTATGGTATATCCTTAATCATGCCTTTGATTTGTTTGATCCTTTTGCTCATATTCAATTTAGCTTTGGATGCAAGGGTGGAGCCACTTTAGGGCTAGAGGTCCCTGTCCCACATCATTACTTTTTTTAAATATTATTTATGCGCAAATATACTTAATTGTCTCCATCCTATTACTTCCGCATAGACTCATTTCTAAGCGGCTACGTTTGAAAAAGTTTGCATAACTTTGTAGGTCATTTTGTAAGTTTTACATTAAAAAAAAAAACTACGAGATCATTAGGTTTCTTTGATAATATGAGTTGCGATTGGTCTATAATTGCATGTTTAGTATTTTTTATTGAGTTAGGGTTTTTTGACAATCCTCAATGGGTTTTTTTGATAACTCTCATTGGTTTTTTTGATGACTCTCATAGGGCTTTTTGATAACTCATACTGATGATTTTTTTCCTTGTTTGAATTGTTTTCTCACTTCCATAGATTTTTTTTTTTTTTTGATAATATGAGTTGTGATTGATATTGATTTGCTTATTAATGTTTTTTTCATTTGAACGTGCAATTGTTGGCTGTTGGCCTATGATTAGTCTTTTTGATGTTGACATCTATATAAATACAAATGTATTATCTTATTTTTGCCGAGTAGAAAAAAATAATATAAGCTTGAGTTAAAGTGCCTACTCAAGACTGAATTTTTGGCTCCACTCCTCATGCGACATTAAAATAACAAACTAAATTTCATGAAAATTAGTTATATGAAGCCTTCTGACTTAGATTCTATCTTTTCGTTTAAGCTGATTCTACTATGAAGTTTGTGAACACTTTGTGACATTAATATTGTAATTTATAGTAGTGGACTCAATCATTTAGAGCAGTATAAGCCTCTTTTCATTGGGTGTTAATCTTATTGGAGTCCTAGTGGTCAGGTGAACAGCACGGCAGAGCAATATGTATAGCCATGTATATATTTCTCTATACATAAGCATGCATTCAACTCAACTCCACAAAGGTATGCCACTATTATTTGGGGTCGGCTTGAGTGTTGTCTGCAATTCCAGATTGTAATGATCATTCTCTTCATTAAATATCAATCCTAAGTTCCAAACCCAACACAACCTGCGAAGGTGTGTCACCTAACCCATTGCTGAAATGAGATGAAAGAACGAAAATGGTGGGAATTAGGAGGAAGAAATTAAATAATCTTATATCTGAGTTTTCTCCGATCCTGTCGAGTTTTAACTTTCCTCTCCTTGCAGCTTATGTTGACTGGAATAGGTAGTTTTCTGGTTTTGGGCTGCTTGACTTTTAGTCATATGCATAGCTTTTGTCAATCTGTAAACTTTTGTATGGTTCACATTCTTATTTTGCTATTTGCAGGATGCCGTGGAATATGCTCAATGTGAAGCTGTCGTGAAAGACTATCCCCCATTTAGGGAGGCAATGAAGAAAAGAGGCATCGAGGATATGGATCTTGTTATGGTTGATCCTTGGTTAGTCAATATATACTGAATTCCTTTTGGAAGTGTTTTCTATGGACAAATTGATATTATGTTTTTGCCTGCTAATTGGGTCTGCATGCATTTCCTGTACAGGTGTGTTGGTTATCACAGTGATGCTGATGCTCCTAGCCGCAGACTTGCCAAACCACTTATATTCTGCAGAACAGAGAGTGATTGCCCGATGGAAAATGGTTATGCACGTCCGGTCGAAGGCATTTTTGTACTTGTCGATATGCAAAATATGGTGGTTGTTGAATTTGAGGACCGTAAACTTGTTCCCTTGCCTCCAGCCGATCCATTGAGGAACTACACTCCTGGTGAAACAAGAGGTGGGGTGGATCGCAGTGATGTGAAGCCCCTTCAAATTGTTCAGCCTGATGGTCCAAGCTTTCGCGTTAGAGGGAACTATGTGGAGTGGCAGAAGGTATTTCTTGTTTAGTCAAACTTGCCTTTTTGAAATTCTCATCACATTCATAGCTGCATATTGAAAGTGATTGGTGTTCTAATTCTGGTCGGCAGTGGAACTTTCGAGTTGGTTTCACACCTAGGGAGGGTTTGGTTATACACTCTGTTGCATATGTTGATGGTTGCCGAGGACGACGACCAATAGCCCATAGGTTGAGTTTTGTGGAGATGGTTGTACCCTATGGAGATCCAAATGAACCGCATTATAGGAAGAATGCATTTGATGCAGGGGAGGATGGCCTTGGGAAAAATGCCCATTCTCTTAAGAAGGTTTGCCATTTTCTTGCCCATACTGTTCATTATTTTTCAACTTAAACCTTCTTGTATTCGTTTTGGTTGGTGAAAATTTTATTGTAATACAAGAGCCATACTGCAGGGATGTGATTGTTTAGGATATATCAAGTACTTTGATGCCCATTTTACAAATTTTACTGGAGGAGTCGAAACTACTGAAAATTGTGTATGTTTGCATGAAGAAGATCATGGAATCCTATGGAAGCACCAAGACTGGAGAACGGGCTTAGCAGAAGTTCGGAGATCTAGGCGACTAACCGTTTCTTTTATCTGTACTGTGGCTAATTACGAATATGGATTCTATTGGCACTTTTACCAGGTAAGTTGAATGACTTGGAAATTTATTCCAAGTGCTTTGTTATAACTATTTTCGAATAAATTCGAAGGAAGATAAACAGTGGTTCTGAATAAGTTTTTAACTCATGCAATGCAAATTTGTCTCACCATAGGTCCTCTTAAGCACCTAATACCTAGTTGTTCATATTGTAAGACACTATTACCAACTTTTCTGCCTGCCATATGATCTACTAGCATCTGCTTTGTGCCTTCCCCACTTTTTCTGTTATTCCTTTTGGGTATAGGGGTGCACTGGCAGTCAACTTTTTAAACTTCATTGTGTGGGCAATTCTGGATTATCAGTACAATATTTGTGGTTACAGGATGGAAAAATTGAAGCCGAAGTTAAACTTACTGGGATTCTCAGCTTAGGAGCACTGCAACCTGGAGAATCTCGAAAATATGGAACAACAATAGCACCGGGATTATATGCACCAGTACATCAACACTTTTTTGTTGCTCGAATGGATATGACTGTTGATTGTAAGCCTGGAGAAGCATATAACCAGGTATATACTGCCACAATTTGCTTTGATTTTCATATGGAGTTAAATATGCAATATTTGCTTTATTGTCAAGCTTTTACATTGATCAACATTATTGTTTTGTCTTTGTTGTTTTTGTAGGTTGTTGAGGTGAATGTCAAAGTTGAAGAACCTGGGAAGAATAATGTTCATAGCAATGCATTCTACGCAGAAGAAACTCTGCTTAGATCTGAATTGCAAGCAATGCGGGATTGTGATCCTCTCTCTGCTCGCCATTGGATTGTAAGCAGTTTTACCTGACCATATTTTTTGCAGCTAAGTTTGTTTTGAGGTTTTTTATTTCTGTACAGGGAGCAGATGGTCTCCCTTGCATTATCATGTTCTTCCTTTGTCTTTGTAAGCTTGAATATTTTCATTTGCAAGGAAATATTTTTTTCACTTTTCATTTTTCTGGGATCCCCTCTCACTTTATTTGGAAGCAAGATAGATTGATTCCTGGTAGTCTAAACAACAGTGGGCTCTGGTTCTTTGGTGGAGGACTTGGCTTGGGCTCTCAAGAGCCTTTGATCCGTAAGTAGTATTTTGGTGGCCTCTACATTTCAGAGGTGCCCTGTTCCCGTGTTTCTCTGGTTCATAAGCCCTCGTGTGGGTCTCGTGAGATTTGTTTGAGGGCCTTTTGAGTAGCATGCCAAGAAGCTTGCTAAATATGGGCTACAACAGACTTCCTAATGATGTAGCTGTACGAGAAACTAAGGGTTGGATGATTTATTCATTTTTAACATTCATGATCTTCTTCTTTTGTGGATTACTAATTGAGGATTCTTTAAGCATTCCTTAGCCCGTTGATTTTTGAGAGTCCTCTTGTATTGGTTAACGATCATTTTTGTCTTGTTGATTGTCAACTTATATGTGGAATGACGATGCTATTTTATGCTGCAGGTTCAGAACACTAGAACTGTCAATAGGACTGGGCAACTGACAGGGTACAAGTTGGTACCTGGTTCAAACTGCTTGCCATTGGCTGGTTCTGAGGCTAAGTTTTTGAGAAGAGCTGCTTTCTTGAAGCATAATCTCTGGGTTACGCCATATGCACGGGAAGAGAATTTTCCAGGAGGAGAGTTTCCTAATCAGAATCCACGTGCTGGTGAGGGGTTGGCTTCGTGGGTCAAGCAGAATCGGTCACTGGAAGAAACAGATATTGTTCTTTGGTTAGTCCACATTACAATTTCCAAATTTAATGAGGATATGATTTAAATATGATTCGGATTTGCTAATATAGAATCTGTCTACAAAGCACTCTAGTGTCTGTGTCATCATTGGCACCTATTGTCAAAGAAAACTATTTTTTTTCCTGTAAGCTGGATCCCAACAATGTCAAATCATTGTTGCATGTTATGTTCCAGCACCATCACACAGTATGAACATACAGATATTTGTCTTCATATTTTACTGTAAATTTTGAACCCATAACAGTATTCTTTCTTCTTAAAGATGATATTATATACTTGATGTGTATTTGAAGGTTTTCTGAACTTGTTATAGTTTCTAATGGACAATATTATCACTTTCTGGATCTAGAAATGTTTAAGGTTTCATTTACAGACTCTGAAGTAATTGACGTATGTGTTCAAGTTATTTTTGTTGTTCATGATTCATCATGTTAATTGCAGGTATGTATTTGGAATCACACACGTTCCTCGGTTGGAAGACTGGCCTGTCATGCCCGTTGAACACATTGGTTTTATGCTTCAGGTATGTGTTCAGTATCACATATTCTTCAGTTGGAATACTACCATGAACTATCTTATGTCAGTGGAGCTCATGGCATTAAATTTAGATTGTATAAGTACAAATATAGTATTCCAGAAGGTGACGTATCCGTGTCGAACACGTGTTTGATACTCCTTTGTCTGTGTCTATAATAAAATGATAAAATTTTAATTTTTGGACACGTGTCCGATACTTCTTTGGTGACATATCCGATATTATTTTAACCGTGTCTATTACTAAATAATAAACTTGTGTTAATATGTGATTAACAACACTTAAAAATTTGAAAGTATCTTGTATTATGGGAGAACATATAATTATCAAGACTAGACATGTTAAAGTTATACACAAAACATAATAAATAAAAGCATAAGATGTATAAATTTGAAAGTATCTTATATTATGAGAAAACATATAATTACCGAGACTAGACATGTTAAAATTATACTCAAAACATAAGATGTATACAAGTTTTAAACAACAAGAATTGAGAAATGAGAGCTATCATTTAACCAATATATGTGAGGTACACGTTTACAAAAAAAATTATGATTATTTGACTATTATAATGCTTTATTCTAAAAAATTCACATTAGATAGACTAGACATAACCTTTTATTTATCATAAAGTATTATATGAATTTTATTTATCATAAAGTATTGAATTTTATGAATAGTATATCATTATCATTATATTTACAACAAACTCTATCAACTCATATATGACACATAATTATCTGTAGCGTATGTCAAACGTGTCCGTGTTTATGTCGTGTCGTTTCAGTGCTTCTTAGACACAGTAGGCTACTTTTCCAAACCAGTGTTTAGGATTGATCAACAAATGAAACTCAAGGACAGACCTAATGGATGTATGACATATTGTGGAGAGCACAATGCATTTAGACGTATTATTTTCTCCATATGCATTAACGAGTTACAAACCATTAAACGATTGTATGTGAACCTTGAATCCCTGTATAAGTTGGCAAATTACAGTTTAATTATTATTTTTGCAACTCGTGCATGGTCACAGATCCAAGTTAGATATGCGATTGACTATTTCACGAATATGTATTTAATCATTGGAATTGACATTATGTATGGTAATTTTGGTGATTGTGAGTGCAGCCCCACGGGTTCTTTAATTGCTCTCCTGCAGTAGATGTCCCTCCAAATGGATGCGACTTGGAAGCCAAAGACAACGATGTGAAAGACAATGGTGTAGCAAAGCCAGTTGCAAATGGGTTGATGGCCAAGCTTTAAAAGGATGCTACTTTCAAATGAACCGGTCTCTTATGATCAACCTACAACGCAGAAATCGTTAGTGAAGATTTGTTGAATTCACTGATTCTCTCTCTGTCTCTCTTGATTTCGAAATTGGAACTGTATTTTGGTGGTGTGGTCTGCTCCTGTTTTTGTATATGTGCGTTTCAGACTGCTGATTTGTTGATTAACCCAGGAGAGGAGTGGATTGTTTATTTTTTGTTTCTCATTTGGTCTTTGTCAAAAGATTTATTCAAGACATGAATGGTCATGTGTCCCCATCCCATCCCATCCCATCCCATGATGAAAATTCGTTTTGCGAAGATTCGATCACATTGCTGTGCAAATTCCAATACTGAATTCTGGTCTAATGTTTGATCTGTAGTCAAATTCGGATTTATATCCTTTCAAATAAATTTTCTTTTTAGCTTTTTTTATTGATTATTTATCATGTGAAATTCATTTGTATATAATGGTTTTTACTTGACTACATGATAGATAATTAGCTAAGAATTTTTTTTTAAAAAAAAGGGGATTCTGGTCCGTCAAATTTCAAGTCACAATTCTTTTATTTGAAAAAATTTGAATCGAAACTTACCCTTTAAATTTAGGCCAAATAGTTTTTTTTTGTTTTTTGATTTCATATTGATAACTACTATAAAATAAAGAAAAATTATAACTAAATTATTACAAGGAAAAGAGTTATTCGTGGTCAATTTTAACAATTATTTGCAACACGTTGGAAATTTCTCTCCGCTCGTCAACCCCTATTCTCCCCCCCTCCTTTTTGTCTCTCCAACGACTCTTTGCCTCAGGTCTTCGCATACAGCCACGGTTGAACTCAAAGTCCACTGTCCAACGCGTTACTTAAATCCATTGGTCGATTGAGTTGTTGATTATTTTTCTATTGGTTCATTGTTTGTAGTCATGGTTTTGCTTTGCAATTGCAATATTCGTTTGGAATGAACCCCGTTTCAATTCTCTCCATATAAATTTTATTTTGACAAATTATAGATTTTTGATCTAGTAATTTTTAATTTCCACATATTCTTAGAATTTTACACAATCGTATTTGGGAACTAAGGTATAATAAGTGAGAGTAAATAATTTAGTAATAAAGATAATGATACCCTTTAACTCTTTTAATTGATAGCTTTTTTCTGCCGAAAATATTGTATAAATTAAAAAAAATTACTTAATGTATAAAAAGTGGAAAGAAAAAGGAGGGAGAGAGGGATTAAAAGTGTTAGTTGACGAGTTTAAGCAGGTTTAGAAGCGGGTGAACTTGAATACTGATGGTTACTTTTAAAAGAATTCATATGAATTTTAATTTGGTCCCAAATCAGAGGAAGTTATGTGTAGTTTTCAAAATATTGGATAAATGTTGTATTATTAGGTTAAATCTCATGGATGTAACATTTAAATTGCCTTTTTTTTTAAATTTTTAGTAACGAGGAGAATCATATCAATCACGTGTCATTTTGATTTATAAATCAAACTTAAAGTTTAAATATTTTCAAATTACACATATAAATTAAACTCAAACTTTATATAACTAATGAGATTCAAACTCAAAATTTGTGCAAAAATTTACATGTGTCATCTTGTTCAATCACTTGACCATTGCCCATTAGGAAAAGCTCTATTTGGGTGCACAACCTGTGCTTAATGTTTTGTGTTGTATAGTGTCTATTATCACAGTTTATTGATATCCTTAATCTTTTTAATGCAATAGGGTTTCAATGGTTAAAATAAGCTCAATTTTTTTCGAGGCCTTATTTTTTTCAGAAAAGCAAAGGGTGTAGATTTCAAATTTTCAGTGGTTTGGTAGTCTTATAATTTTTGGGTAAAATGCAAAAAGACGCAAAAAGACCCTCTTCTACTAAGTCTCAATCTCACTTCACTTCCTATATTTTTACGGGTTTCACTTAACTCCCTTCAATTTGTGAACAAATTACAAATCTTATCAACAAATTACAAATCTTATCAGAGATAATAATTTATATAAAATGACTAAACTATCCCTTGATTGCAATCGATTTTTTTTGTAATGTCATCATTATAGAATCCTAATCTTTAAAAAGCAAAACTTATAACTAGTAAACGACTTGGTTATGCTTATATTTCTATGAGGATTCCACTAGTATGATTAGATTTGAGTTTCATATTGCGTGTGTGCTCGAATTTGTGCTTAAAGCTTAAAGTGATAATTAAATTTTTAAATGGGTTACATAGCAAATAACCCTTTCTTCCTCAATTGAGGCTTGAGTTGTGTTATGGGACTATAGTATAGTGTATTTGAGTGCTTAGAAGCTACGACCAAAGTGTGTGTGTGATGAAGAAACCCCTTAGGGTATAAAAATTTGAAAATCAAAATTGTAAGGGATAAAAATTAAGGATACCTCTCATTAAATATTTGAATTTGATATTTCTGGTTATGAATATTTCTGAACTTGATCTCTTAGTTTTTACTTTCTGTAAAATGAACAAAGTGCTTCGATCGAAGGCACTTCGATATTTAAGTAAGTAATGGAACTGAGATAATTGCAAAAAGATAAGGAGAGTTCAACGTATCTTTCACCCTTGGCTCCTTTTGGTTTTTATAGATCCTGTTCAGTTAGGATTTCCATGAATTTCGATTCAAGGTAACACGCGTTCCTCCAATTAGGCGGCTCTAGTTGAAAAGTTGCTAATATCTCTCTAGCAATTCCTCTTGTCCAGCCTATAATTTCGTCGATTCGTTTAGCCAAAATGTCTAAATTGTAGACATTTTTTTAGCACCACGTTACTGTTTTAAACAACTCGGTCTTGATGAGGACCGTGCTCATTCCTTCATTTTTGAGCTTTCTGATTAGCTTGGTTGCTATTTGATGACAACTTGGTCGGATCTCATCCTCTGTTCGGCCGGGACAACCTAGCTGTTTGTTCGGTCGAATTTATTAGCTACTAGGTTGAACCTATTTTAGCTCGGCCCGGATTGCCTAACTACTTGCTCTGCTCGGCCCGGGTGGGCTAGTTATTTGCTCTGCTCACCGGATAGCCTAGTTATTTGCTCTGCTTGGCCGGATAGCCTAGTTACTTGTTCTGCTCAGCCCGGATGACATAGTTATTTGCTCTGCTTGGTCGGATAGCCTAGCTATTTGCTCTGCTCGGCCCGGATGGCTTAACTATTTGCTCTACTCGTCCAGATAGCCTAGCTAATTGCTCTGCTTGGCCCGAATCAACTTTAACTCGATCGTAGTAGAGTCATTACAAATAACTCTTTTCAACATGTGCAACCTGTCACACGTCCAAGTCTAGTTGTCAGATGATGGTCAGAATTTATCAACCCCTTCAAAAACTTTGAAAAATTTATTAAAACTTCAAAATGAGGATTGCATCTAATTAATTTGGGGTTAAGGAGTTAAAAAATGACCTTAGATTTAAAAAATCAAGTCGTTTGATAGATCAAAAACGAATTTGTAGGCCTAGAGAGAGAGGAAGATGAAGATGAAGGATAAAATTGATAATTAAATTTTTTTAATGTAAAAAAAATTGTTTATTTTATAACACACACAAAATTAGCATCTGCAATTACTGTGCCGTTAGAATAAATAGATTCAATTAGATTTGCAATTTGTACATAAATTAGAAGGGTTAAGCAAAACCCGTAAAAGTAGAGGAGGTGAAGTCAGATCGAGACTTAAGGAGGTTTTTGGCATTTTACCCTATATTTTTTGGATGATTTTTTTTTTTTTTTGGTTTAAACTTCCAAGTATACATTTAAGCACGGTGGGGTTATTTTCTGGTGACTTTCACATTTAAAAGAGAGTAAAGCTCTTGATCCCAATAAAACAATTGTATGGTGACTGTTATTAGCAATCTTAGATTATCCCTCTTGGCTCTAAAGGGAAGGAAGTCGAAGACAATTATTTTCCTATGCTCTTGTGTTTTGTGTTTGTCCAATTTGCTTGAGTTTTGTTTGTTTCGTCTACTCACGTGTCCTGATATATTTGTTTTAATAAGAATTAATGATTAATTTGGTGGTTAAGTTGAAAATAACAACTATTTTAACTTGAAGGGATTTTTAGACACGAATTATTATTAATATGATTAAAAAAAACAAAACATTCTATTGATTTATTCCCCCTTCTTATTATCTTCGTTCAAATTAAGAACAAACCATTGCAGAAATTAACTAATAAAAAGAATTAAAACTTTAATTAATTAATTTTAAATTTATTGTGATGGATTGGACAAAATTTTAGTACGGCTATCCAGCAATCTTTTTATTTTGACTTGTCTTGGGAGATGAAATGTTGTACCGTTAAAACCAACGTTGACGGAATTAATTAATTAATTAGTTAAAGAAAATATTCAAAACAGTGGCACTAGCCCTTGGCCACAGAACAATCAAAGGAGGAGGTTGGTCCTTTGGTTCCTAGTTTTTCCAACTCCTGGCGGCTACGTCGCAGATTCCTGACCTCAAAAACAATTCCTCAAAGCTTGTCCGCACTAGGTTCTCTCTCTCTTGAGAATTGATCAATCACTGGAAAGAATGGCGGTTGCCGAAGGAGAGAAATCAATCCAAGATGAGCTTTCACTACCAATCTTGCTCGCAGACAGAGTCATAAAATTGGCCCAAGCAGCCGAGTCATCGAAACCCGACTGCTGTGACCTCGCCAGAAAAGTTACCCAACTCACCCATAAGCTCCGATCAACAGTACGACTCACCACTGCCCCTACCAACCCCGTCTACGAACGCCCAATTCGCCGAATAGTCTCCGAAGTCTCCAAGAACCTCGACCGAGCCATAACCCTAGTCCGAAAATGCAAGCACAGTGGAGTTCTCCGCCATGTCTTCGCCATCACCACAACCGCCGACTTCCGGAAAGTCGGCAATCTTATTGACTCCTCCATCGCTGATATCACGTGGCTTCTCTCGATTTTCGATTCCGATGCCGGCCCAAGCCTTTCACTTCCTCCGATAGCTAGTAATGAACCAAATCTCGCTCTTGTTTGGTCTAGCATAGCCTCAGTCCAAATGGGTCAGCTCAAAGACCGCATCGACGCTGCCAACAACCTCGCTTTGAGTTCGCGCAACAACGATCGGATCATGAAAATGATAATCCAAGAAGGGGGAATTGTACCTTTACTGAAGCTGTTGAAAGAAGGTACGACTCCAGAAGCTCAAATTGCGGCGACGAGGGCGTTGTACAACTTGGCTACTGATGAAGAGAGGGTACGAATAATCATCTCCTATGAGCTTGCTGTGCCGATAATTATCAAGGTCCTGGCCGATGCTCCTATGGAAGTTCAGATAGTTGTGGTGGATTTGGTGTCGAGAATGGCGGAAATGAACTCAGTGGTTCAAGAAGAGTTTGGGAGAGAGAATGTGACGAGGCCATTGGTGACTTTTTTGGCGATGGATATAGTTTTGGATGAGCCTAAGCCTCCTCTTCAGTCAGGTAAGACTAGCTTGCATTCACTTGTACAGATAAAAAAGGAAATGGAAAAGCATACGGTAGCAGGGAGAGATATTAGTAGTTTCCATTCAAATTCCTCTGTACATTCTAATGGCAATGGGAGCAGTAGAGGTGGGCATAGCCATAGGCATGAGAGAGAAAACGAGTCACCGGAGGTGAAACTTAAGCTCAAGATTAGTTGCGCTCGTGCATTGTGGAAATTGGCAGAAGGGTGTTTGTTGAATAGTAGGAAGATTACAGAGACCAAAGCTTTGCTTTGTTTGGCTAATCTTATTGAGAATGAAAAGGGGGAGTTACAGATCAATTGTTTGATGGCGGTGATGGAATTAGCTGCGGTGGCAGAGGCTAACACTGAGCTTAGACGAGTGGCTTTTAAGCCTAGTTCAGCTGCTGCAAAGGCGGTGTTAGATCAGCTTTTGAGAGTTTTAAATGAAGAAAGTAGTCCAGCATTGCTAAGTCCTGCTATAAAGGCGATTGGATCTTTGGCTCGAACCTTTCCTGCGAAGGAGACGCGAATAATTGGTCCTCTGGTTGCACAGCTAGGGCATAGGAATGCAGATGTTGCAACTGAAGCGGCTATTGCCCTTGGGAAGTTTGTGAACCCAGATAATTTTAATTGCTTGGAGCACTCAAAAGCGATTATTGAGTTTGATGGGGTGCCAAAGTTAATGAAACTGCTGAGGAGCAATGATCGGGGTCAAGTGCCTGAGCTTGTATTGTTATGTTTTCTTGCAATACATGTTGGTAATAGCAAGGCTCTTGAACAGGCTAGAGCATTGAATGTTCTGGAGGGGGCTGCCCGTCATACACCTGCCCAAAGTCCTGATTTGAGAGAACTGTTTGCCAAGGCTATCCACCATCTCACTCTCTATCAGGTTGGAGCTCATCCCCACCACCACCCTTAAGCACCATAAACCTCTGAGCAGCCAAAAAATCCCACTTGTGTGGATGTTGGCTATTGGCACTGTAATGTAAATGGTACTGATTCATAGATTCTGAACATAAGGAAATCAAGGGCAGATGCCACAGAAGAGATTGTTCATTACCCCAATTAATCGTTCCTGTGAATGTGTATGTTCATTGTATTAACAGAGATGAGCAGATGTTTGCAAATTCTGTTGAAATTGGTTCTTGATGTTAAAGAAGAATGAGGATTTTGTTACTTTCCAGGTTCTGTTCGCCATTTATTCTCTCTTTGTGCCCCGGGAGTGATTCAGAATGTGTCTTCCACCATCTATTGTACTATGGTTTTGAATTCTCATCTACTGCGATACGAAATTTTTATCAACTGGTAATCTCTTGCTTCTACTTGTCCTTGGATATATGTTTGCAGTAACAAAATAATCAACAATCTTTAACTTTAATATGTTTCATAATAGGACTTGGTGGATTTAATAAGCTACAATACCAGCATTAAGGCAAAGGCTCCTTTATAGCTGCTCTGGCACCTTATAATCTTATTTCAGCTTGTGTGTGTTTGCTTATACATTTTGGTGGTACATGGTCTGAAAGAATTCTAGCTGATAGTCTGGAAGCAAGGACTTGATAAGCAATTTTTTTGGATCAGTAAATATACGAGCTTGATAATATTTTTAGTACATTTAACTACTTGCTGTTTTTGGCCATAGAAAGATAGGTGATTTCTTTGTCTACGGGAGGCCTATGTTCCATTTTTGGCACAATTTTTATTGATCCAAGCTGAGGATAAATGAGTCCAGCTTTTAACAGATTATAAATGCATCCATTCCTTAAAGCTGTTGGTCTTTCTATACAACCCTGTTGAGTGATTTCATAAAACTCATTGTCAATCCAAAAAACTTGACTAATTTGGATTTCCCATAACTGCCAACACATACACATAATAATTGATCTTTGCATGGATAAGATTCCTGTTCTAGATATGCTTGCACCTTGTGAATTTGGCTTATTCCATGGTTAGTCAGATTGGTATTCTGTCATTTTGGATCTCTGTATTATGTGATGGAAGCTACTTCTCTCTTCATTTTTTTTTTTGGTTCTAATGCATACCTATTCAAGTAAAGGATTTCTCATCCATGTCTATCTGAAGAGATAGTTTCTTACAGAAGTGTTTTAATGGCATGTGGTTATTAAGGATTGCATGTGCATCCAAAGCACCAAAAGATGTTCTGCTAAGAAGTGTCCTTGGCACTAGTTATGCGGCAGTGAAAAGTTGAAGTGAATAAAATGTTTAGGGATACATGTCTTGGAGGATGAAAGCATTGATTGGAGAAATGCTGGTGAGTGTTTCAATTAACAAGGCTGAGAGCATTTCTTGAAATCACATTTGACTTAGATATTGGGTGTTGCATGCCACATTTCATACTTTTTACTTGATAAATTTGCAAGCATTACTCGGAAATTATTACCTGTTTAGTGCACAGGCCTGGAAACAGAGGTTGATGTGCTAAAGGTAATGGTGAGGCTATTTAATGGGAAATCACGACCTTAAACACTTGCCAGTAGCTATAGTATCAACTTGACATGATGAAGGAACATGATCAAAATCCTTTGGACACAAGGTTGACTCAAGAAAATTGTACTCAAAGAACTGCTGATTGTTTTATATAGCTGTTGGCGATAGCATCTTTCAGTTGCATCCTTATCGAATTAGCATCTACTCTGGTCCTAGATTCCTTCAGTTTATTCAATTCTAAGCCAACCAGCCTTATTAGTACCCACCTGGTTTTTGGATGTAATATTGGAGTTGATCTCAATCCGTACTTGTCAAAGGGTCTGGGTGGGAAAATTCCTCTCTCGCTTAACACATTCTGGCCTTCTTCATATGTAATCTGCAGAGTGCATAAAAACAGTGTTTTCTCGTCAGGTTTACACCTAGTTCTTAAGTTTCAGGCAGTTGTGAATGTAGTGTTACATCTCCAACTTGAGTTCTGATTTACCTTTTCTTAACCACTTTGATTGGGATTTGTCTCTGTTGTAGACTAATTGACATAGGGGTTGCTATATATCATCTTCAACATGAGTTTACTTTAAAAGAAGACGAGCCTGAGGGTTACTTATTATTCCTAAACTAGTATACGAGCCAATTGAGTCTCTCAATTTATTACCAATTGGTTTTCAGCTGAATGTTTTAACATGATACTAGAGTGAGTTTCGGTAATTGTCTGATGCATACGCGACTAGGGGATTGTACATATCTGGGAGGATTAGTTAGGTGCTATAAGAAACCCGGATGCCTCCTAGTTAGCCAAAAAAGTAAAGTTATAGTTGGAGGATAACTTTTTTTTTTTTTCTTTCGTATTAGGATTAAAACTGAAAATGACTTTACAGGTCGTTATGCAATCAATTTGGCACCGTCCATGCTCTAATACGATTAAAGAAAATTTAAAAGAATGAGGCCCGAAAATGGTAAGATACCAGTTATGACAATTTGTATCCATGAGTCATGACTGAAAGCAAAGGAGAGTATAGAACAGAACTACCTCTTTGAAAGCCCCATAGGCTCAGCCTTACTAGGCAAGCCAAAATCTTCAACTATATATCATCCTGTCACCTTCATAAGTAGTTTTAAAGTTCAAGCAGATTAGTGTGGGCGCATCTCTACTTTTCATGTATCGTCTCAATCACATGTCCATTGAATTCGTGATTGAATGCAGATTTTCAATACGTATAGTTACCCACAAACTATTTGTATTACTTCGATAATTGGCAGTGAGAATTGAACCTTTGACCCCTTCCCTCTTAAGAGCGGAAGTCATACCTGTAGAACAGAATTTCTATATATATTTCATATCCAAATCCTAATCTGTCTGAGATTCAAAGAGAATCTTAATTCTCCAATTTCAATCACCCACAATTCAATCACTGACCCCACACATGGTTCCCGCTAGATTGAGATTTTTTCCATTATTTTTTTACATAATTTTACTCAATAATAGATTATCCATCATATATTCACGTGAGATTCATTATTTATAAATGAACTCTTCACTCATACACGTCGGGTGATCTATCATTGAGTGAAATTGTGTGACAAAGTAATTGAGAGGATTTACATCCGTTGCGCTTGAGGGTCCCACCACAAATGGGATGAAATTGAAGAAAACTGGGAAATCTCCAATTCAGAGGATCTAACCGTGGAATGAAATGGACAAGAAAATTATCTTCTTCTTCTTTCTTTTTTTCCTTTTGTCAACTCTTCAACAATACAAGTAGTAAAATGCAGCCTTAACAGAACTCTGTCAAATTACCATTAGAAAGAAGAAAGACAAACAATGAAGATGCTCACCTCAGACCTTTCTCAGTAGGAAATTCTGCGCTGTGAACATTTGTTTGTGTACACATTCCCATAGAATAAAAAAGGAATTTACTCGATGCACATGGTTTTTGAGTTGTTGATACAGAGTCCAAATTGTTGTATAATATCAATTCTAAAATGCTAAAAATCAGATGATAAACAAGATAAGAAAATTTATTGATTGAGGTGTGTAGTCACTGTCCTTAAGAATAGATTTTCACCCCTCTGACTATGAAACCCAGTGCAACAGGTTATGACGTTCTATCCTTCAGAATTCAACTATCGCTTCTCCACAAGCGTGCACTCGCAAATATAAAGGTGTCTCGAACAACTCTTGATTATTTTCAAATCGAATAAAAATAACAACAACTAATAGGATGTTGGAATTAATAGAGTAGGAATTAACTCTACCAAATTGTGTATAAAAAACTTTCAACGAAACACTGGTTGTTTAGAATTTTTGTATGGCCAATGTTTAGAAATGATTTCGTTCTGGCTTTTGTTCAAAAACAATTTTTCCGAAAACTCTATCTCCAAAACCATTCGTTGATGCATTAAACAACCAACCAATGGATGCAATACTATTGGTTGCAACGGTTTGAAAGTTAGATGCAATGGTTTGATGTTATGAAATGCTACGACAGGTATTTGCAAGTTATATAATATAATATTATTATAATAAGGAAAGTGATGGCCATACAATTGAACACCTTTTGGCAGTTAGACGTGTTCCAACCGCCGGCAATTTCAACGGCTTTCTTACAACGGCTTTAAATTAGATAATTCAAATTACGCTTAATTTTACACCACAAAATATTATGTATTTTGAAATAAATAATAATAAATTACAACACAAATAACACATAGTTGGAACGTTTCTCAGAGATGGTGTTCCCCAGAGAAAAACGTCTTATTTGCAGTTCAGAAATGGTGTTCCCCAGAGAAATCTTCTGATAGTGACATCAATGGATGGTTGCTGAAATCTTCTGAAAGGCAAGTATGAAGTTGCCCTTCTTGCAATGGACTTTGCATCACTTCTTCAGATTTGATCCCATTCAATTGGCCCTGAAACAATGACTCTAACTTGTTATCAACATCCCAAGAGAAAGTAGAGCCATTTCCTACTATGTTGCTCATTGCATGACTATTGACATGAGAGCTATTACTTGAACTTTCCTTTGCTTCACTGAGGAATGAACTCATTCTTGAAGTCGAATAATCCGAAAAATTTGAATCAGCCATGTTTCCATGATCAAAACTGCTTGTTAAGGTTGGCATTGAATCAAATTCATCTTCCAGATTCGCGTCGAAATGGCTTTGATCATAAGGCCTTGGACTCTTCTGGTATTGAGTTGGAAGATTTCCCACTTGGAACTCAAATAAGTATGAAGGATCATAGATTGGTTTGCTCATGAAATGGTCTCTTGAAGCTTCTGTTAATCTACTATCAAAGCAAATGGTTGTGTTCAAATGAAATGTCTGCTCCATTTCAGCTGAGGTCTTTGATAAATCTGGAAGCCCTTTAGGCTGTTGTGACTCCATTGATGGATTGTCTGTCCAATCCTTCTCACTTCTTGCTTCTGTTTCAATCAATGGTTTGTGGGTGTTTGGATCAATACCTTGCTTAATTAGTTTCTTCTTCAAACATGAGTTCCAAAAGTTCTTTATCTCATTGTCTGTTCTTCCTGGTAACTGTGCTGCAATTTGTGCCCACCTGCCAGTTTCCAAAAACATTTCCTAAGTACCATGAAAGGGAAAATTTCTCTTTGAACCCCTTAGCTATATACACGCTGTCTCAAGGTTCCCCATAGCTATCACTTTTTTTACATTGTACCTCAAACTATAGTTATTCATCTCACATTGCTCTCCCAACTATAATAGCACCTTTCACTACAGGTATTGGATTCATGCTACCCAAATAAGAATCTTGTATTCTAGTACACATGCTGACTTTTTGTATGCTAAACACGACGGACATTTAATTTTAAAATTCAAGTAGTTGAGAGGATAAAATGAGAAGCTCAATAGTTGAGGGGACAAAGTGAGAATAGGGTCCTAGTTGAGGGGGTCAAAGTATAATTTATCCTATCAAGAATATGAATATTCATTATTGATCCTAGGTGAGGTTACTTCCTAATTCGAGTCAAGTTACATAATTAAAAATTAAGTTACCGTTAAAAATGTGAGGATCGATTCTAAACAATCTCATTTCTTATAAGCTTACTAGATTAAGCCGTGGACTATCCTTATTTTGTAATCACAATTAAAAATAATTTTTCCGTATCATAATTTTATTCTCCTTCCTGAAATTCTAATCTTGATATTGTTCTTCCATAAACTGATACCTGTTCCCAAGAGCTTCATGGAGGCCAAGTATATGATCCTCCTCTTGCTGTGAGAACATTCCTCTCTTAAGATCAGGCCTCAAGTAGTTTATCCATCTAAGTCTGCAACTCTTTCCACACCTTTGCAAACCTGCACGAACCATAGAAAATGGAGATTCAAACACCAATTTTCGACTAAATTACAAAGAGTTAAAATGTTCATTGATCATAGAGATCAACTTACCAGCTAGTTTAGGAACTGAACTCCAGCAACCAACACCAAATCTAGTTATGTAATTGAACAGTTTCTCATCTTCTTCTGGTGACCATAGACCTCTCCTTAGCTTCTGCTTCACACAACACGAGTGGCATCCCATTGGTGATGGTATTGTGCAGGAATTAAGTCCAGTTCAGAGTGGTGGTATGAGAAAAAAACTTGAAGTAATCACAGTTGTGATGGTATTAATGATTCAAATTTGGAGGTGGGCATTTAAGTTTATGATGTTTGAGTGGAAAGAAATGAAGATACTCTCTAATGATTCAAAGGGGGCTAGAGAAAATCAAACTTAGAATTCAAGTTAAACAGAGAGAGATAGATGACCGACTGGTTGGACATAGACGAAGTTGGCCATATTGATCCGGGAGTTCCGTGTGGAAAGGCTGTCGCTCAATGGATCAAAGGCATGCCCTTAACTTGGAAGCCGGGGGAATAAGATAGTGACCGTCCAAAAGTGAAAAAATGAAAGCGAAATCAACTTCAAGCTATAAGTGAAGTTGTCGCTAAATTGGCTAAGCGAACCATATTTCGGATATTGCTCGGAGCTAGGCTAGTCGCTGGATTAAAACCAACAAACCGACCATTCTGAGAGAGAGAGAGAGAGAGAGAGAGGAGGTAAAGGAATCAAGTGGTTTTTATGCACATCTGGTGCTGCTTTTGCATTGGACTGGATTGAGTTTCAAGATATATATCTCTCTCTCTCCAAAAGAAATTGAAGGAAAGATGAATGGGAGGAATAGCCATATGAAGTACAAAAGTGTACTCGTGAGAAACTAATACATATAGTAAGAACGATAGGTGCCACAGAGCCTGAAAAAATATTCATATATTTTTTTAATACATTTTTAATTTTTAATACCCGTCAATCGTACATTACACATCATCTATTATTAAGACTCATACGAACCTCCTAAGTATTATTGAAAGAATTTGGGAGAAAGCGTCTCAAAAAGGATTTCAATCCCCATAACTTATATATGTATCTTCTTACTCACATCAATCTTATTAAACATTTGTCATTTGCTCTCGATTGTTCGAGTTTTACCCATCTTACAACCTCAAATTTTAGAAAATGGTAATAATTTTGAACCATTTGATTTGTCGATGCTCGTTTTCTTAAAGAAAAAATAAATAAAAAAAATTGTTTTTAATTGTTAACATGAAGAAGAAAATTGAATAGAGTATTAGGATTCTGATTTGATTGGTGGGACCTATGAAGAAAATTGATAAAATGTTTTTTTCTTCGGTAATCTTAGCCTTGCCAGCCAGAAAATCTTTTTAATGCATTTAAAGAAAAGGGTTGTGTCTGTGCTCTACACAAATTTTGTGGGGCCAAATGTATAGAAAATTTTAAACTCGCCACCGACAACCATTTAACTAATACGTCAAGAAGTGTAGGGTTCATGTATAAGTCTGACATTTTTTTACCACGAAGGAAGTTCGAATTAATTTGTACGGATTTTAATTAATTTTTTTAATTTAGTTAAATATGAATTATTTATATAAGAATTAAAAAATTATTAAATGATAAACAAAACAAGAATGTTCGAATTATTTTATACGTATTTCAACTATTTTTTTTCTTAAACCGATCAAAAACCAAATCATATACACCAAAATTAAGAAATTATTAAATTTTAAATTCAAGATGATTCGACAGCACCGTCGGTTAAGTCTTTTTTAGAAGTTTTGACGCTCAAACCCAAACTTTTGTTACATTTTCTTGGTAGAGAAAAGCAACTGAAAGCTACTCATAAGAAATTTAGTTCGTAAGTTGGTACACCATATTGTTTTAGTCCCTCAAATATAATATTTTCCATTTGTAACCGTAATTTTACAAAATTTATGCTTAAATGGTCAACAATACATAACCACCGGTCCACCACAAACAGTAATCACCCCACCACTATTTTCACCGGAATTGACACCGCACACACTCCCACCGCCGCATCATTGCCACCGTCAATACGCATCGTGCGTCTGCCCATACATAGAGTGTACAGTGAACCTTTTTTTACATACGACCCTTCGTACACCACTCGCGTGAGGAGTATGAGGACATTTTTTGCACTATTTTAAACTGTTTAATGTTTAACAATAAGGGTGAAGTTGAAAAAATTGATAGTTAAAGGACTGAAATAATATTTCATGCATAGTCCTTAGTCAGTGATGTTTTAAGCGTGTCGGTGTTACCTTGCTTGATGAAGATGTCTTTGACAAATGATATACACCGACAATTTTCAAAGCCTTATTAAATCAGACAGTGTAGGGTTTGATGAAACTAAAAAAAGAATGTCATTTTCCGAAAAAAAAGAATGTCACTATTAGCCTCTGGCTTGAACCAAATGGGTAGCCCAGTTGGCCAGACCTTCTGGCTTCCAAGTGGGAGGTGAGAGGGTTGAAGTTTTCTTGGCGCAATAGTGTGATTGTTTGGTAGGATAAGATCTTAATTGTTTGAGTAAATCGTATTCAAATCTCTGGTGTAGATTTTGAGTTTTCGACGAAACGTAAGTTCTAATTTAACTGGTGTATCAGTTGAGGGACATGTTCATACACTCGAGTTTGTTTTTGGTTCTACTTAGAGTTACGAGTTTGATGCTCCGTTTGGTACGATGAAAAAGTGGGAGGATGATGGAAAATTGGAGAGATAAATAAAACATTATGTTTGGTAAGAAAGGAAAGTAGAAAGGATGAAAAAGTTAATGGATTAACCTTTCTTCCAATTTATCAAAATCAATCCCTCCAAAATCGGAAGAAAAATGGATGAAAAGTTAATTATTTGTGTTGATATGTATCTTATTTGTTTACTAGTTATTGTTTGTGCCTAAAAACACAAAATAATAAAAAATGATAAATAATAAATATATTTGTATTTATATCCAAAATCAAATCACAAATATAAAGAAAAGATAAAAAAATTTAAGAATAAAGTTGTAGTGGAGGTGAAATGTGGTGGGCAACAGTGGTTGTGGTAGGAGACGGTGATGGTTATAGTGGTCGGAATTGATCATGATGGCGGTGAGGGCGGTAGTGGCAGTGGTGGCGATGGAGGTGATGGTGGTGGTGGTGGCAGTGGCGGTGGTGGTGGTGACGGTAATGGTGGCGGCAGTGGCCATGGTAGTGGTGTCAATAGTGGTAGTGGCGATGGCGGTAGTGATAGTGGTGACAGCGACGACAATGATGGTGGTAGGGTGGTGGGGGTAGAGGTAATGGTAGGACATTTTCAAACACTATTTTTTTTTTTAATATATTTATGAGAAACAATTTATAAAAAACACTTTTAAAAAGTCATTTCAAATATATCCTTAGAGACTTTTTTTCCTATTAAATTTAGGGTGTTAATATCAACCATTATATTAACTTTAAAATAAAATTTAAAACGATCTCAACCGCAAATAACAAAAGTCATTTTGTTTATCTTTTGAAATTTGAATTGTAAGCTACTTTATAATATAGATGTATATTTTTATATATACATATATTATGTATCCATTCATTAATTTCATATAAAAATACAACGGTAAAATATGTAAAAAAAAAATAATAATAATAATTAAAAAAATTTTTTTTCATATTAATTAAGGGTGAAAATTATCGACTCAACACGATGACACGATTCGAACTCGATACGAAAATAAACAGGTCAACTTGTTACTCGACACGATATAATTAGTTAAATGAGTTAAGTTAGGTTTGACTAATATTTGACACAAATTCGTAATGACTCAACACGAATCTGACACGACACGATTCGATTGTCATCCCTAATCTTAACTATTACAAAAAAATAATAGTTATTTTTATTTTCTATTCATCCAACCAAATACAAAGGAAAAAAAATGTATCCTTCCTACTTTCCATCCTTGAAGGATAGAAAATGTATCCCTCATATTTTTTATTATTCCTACTTTATATCCTCCCTACCAAACAGAGCATAAGAGACATAAGTACATCTCTATTCACTGAGGACAGGTCATGAGATTTTCCCCTTATCCCAAAAAGGAAAATTAAAGTTATTAGTCATTGCAAAGAAGAAGGTATAAGAAAACACATAGTGTAATTGTTTTTTACTTCTAATCTTGAAGCGACTTAACAATTTTAGACACGATATTTAAATTTGATATTAAGTTAATGGGTGTGGATTAGCATTAATAACCTCAATAAACAAGTAAAAATATTTAATTCATCAAAACAAACGAATAATCTGACTAAATGTTACTCATGTTCGACTACATACATTTTAAATAAATTAATTAATAGAGTAAATCAAGCATGACACAATTTCTCTCGCATGTCAAACCAATGCGACACCTAATTTTATTCGACTTGAGTTGGGGATACGACTAAGGTATTAAAAAAAAGTTGTCGACTTCAAAAATTATTCTTGGTATCAATAAAAAAACGAATCTTAATTTGATTTATTTGTAGTCATTAATCATTAAAATTAGTAAAGTTCTTAAACTTTTCACTTGTCATTAATTTCAGCTAAATTTTTTTTATTTTTTATTTTTTATTTTTTGAGCAAGATCTCAACTCAAGTATGTATATAGTGTTCCCTTATCAGTGATACGTGATATTATTAATTAATAATTTAAATTTTTATCCGTTAGACCAATGATTGGAGAGTTGATAAGTGTTAAACAGGACCGACACTTACACGTCGGATGACATAAATGCGACTATCTTGGAAAGAACGTAGCCAGCGCAACCACACCCAATCATTTCCATATACGTCCACTCACTACAGCTTTTAGGCTTGCCCTTTTTTGTCTTTTTATATATTAACCGCTGCTGATACAGTGTTCCGCCATAGCATTAATCTCCAGCATTCTCCCCCATAAAAAATGCCACTTGGACGGGGCCCACCTATGCCGGGAAAATATTTGATGTAACGATGCACCACGTGGCCTCATTAGATTTGATCGAATGGTAAAGATTGTTCTCTTTGAAAGTCTCAAAACATGTAGGTTGATTTTGGGTTTCAGGTGTGCTGTACACTATCATCTTGGGGGTTCCATGGAGATCTTGGATCACACGTGGAAAATGGTTTGTGGTGAACTGAAAGAAAGCAACACATACTAAAGATAATGTCCAGAACGAGAAGAAAAAGAAAAAATTGTTACTATATTTTTAAAATTTTTTATAATTTTTATAAAATTTGATATAAATTTTTGAGTATATTTATAACCAAAAAAAAAAAAAAAATTATAGTCTAACTATATTTTTTTGTTGATAAGTACAAACATTTATTTTTAAGGCTTAAAGTGTATGAATGTATGAAATATGAAATGTCCAATCACACGTTAATTTTAAAATTTTTAATGAGAAAAATAATTTTATCTCAATTACCACAGACATGAATATTCTCAATTTCTCTTTCTATCATTTATATATCTTTTTTATTTCTTTTCTATCAATTATCAATTATTATGTCTTATTATATATCTCTTTCCTCTCTTTTCTATCTTATTATTTCTCTCTCTTT